TTAAGTTTTCCTTTTTTTCTGAAGGATGTTAGAGATACGCCGCTCCTCACTTCACATGCTTCACTCCGACGGCTGATGGAATCCCCCCCTCCCTGGGTCGCATCAGGAAAAATTCAAGCTGGGGAGGGGGGGGAGCTGCACAGCATGAGTGCAGAGCAACGTGTATCATCATACTGTAGACAAGTTGTACGACATGTACCTGCATTAGACGGCGTCTGGTGGACTTGCTGTCTTGGGGAATAACAAAAAAAAGCTTCCCAGTTCGGCTCAGTTTGATTTCCCATGTCTCTGTATGTGCGTGTGAGTGTGTTGTGCTACTACGTGTCGTCAATTCTGCAGGGCGAATAGGCTCGCGGGACGTTCAGGGTTTCTGCAGCCGGAGCTCTATCCTATCCCGACGGGGCGAGGCTGACGTGACCCACGGACGGCGTTCGCGACTTTGGCCCAGGTCGGAAGAACTGAGACCGTGCCTGTGCGAACACGGAATCCTACCTTGACAGGTGAAGCCGTCATGTTGAGGAGTCATGAGTGCCTTGGTCTTTTCACGTGGATGCGGGGCGTTACTGACGGCCGACCCTGTGTCATGTGCATCAAGAGGTGGACTGAGGCCAGGCTCACGTCGAAACTCAGCCTGATATTTCGTTTCTAGCAGTTTCGTGAGCACCCAGACTCGGCAGGCCCGACGCCATGTCCTTTCAAGAATGTTCTAGATGTTAGGTGTATTATATTTCATTGAGTGATGATGGTAGACTATTCGGGAGTGTATCCGGCCGGAGACCTGTTGTTGACTGTTGGGTTTCACTATGTTTTTGTTACAAAAATACTGTCTAGTTTAAACCTAAAAAACAAAAACACTGCGTCAACATGAGTAGAATAGAACCCCAAGACTCGAAAATCAATTATTCAATGCCCTTAAAGAGCTATCCCCATTTTTCAGTAGCTAAATATGTATTGTCCTGTCTGTGGTGCTGAATGTTGGTAGATTGAACCCACCAGATCACGGCTTGATGGACCAGAGGATCATCACCAACATCAACACACATACACCATCAAACAGCTACAAAATCTACGATGACCATGGCTGCAACAAAGGTTACGATGACCGAAGACGGCATTGAACACACAGAGAGTCTCTATGGCGACCATTTGCCACTTTGTGCCCCCGGCGTCCCAACACAACGTCCACCCCGGTCCCTCATGAAGCAATCCTGAAACCTTACGCCCACAGAGAACCTTCTCCGAACTCCAGACAGCGGCCCCTCTCGATGCTCCTTCAACAGCCAGGACCCGCCATCTGACAGGCCGACCTGTCCCCAGCGGAGCATTTCCATGGCGGCGGTCGGAGCATTGCACAGACAATCTCCTAGGCGAAGGGGAAACTATCCGCGCTTCCTTCTCTTCAGGGCGCTGCTCGCGAAGGTCAGCGCGGAGATCAAGGAGGCATGCTGATGATGGCAATGGCCGCCGAGGCTGTTGTTTTGATGAGAAGATTCACAGTTTGACCGCCCCACGGGATTTGTGCCTCGCCCGCCTGAGGCTCGCTTGACTCGGTGTTGTCTTGTCGTGACGATCCAGAGGTGCCATCTGGTGTTCCGTGTGCTTCCTGTGTCTCCCTCTCCCTGGCGTGGCTTCGTGGGCTTGGACTTGTCACTTGCGCACTACTACTTAGGACCTTGGTTTTCCTTTCCGCATGGCTAGCTGGGGTCGGGCGTGTTTATTTCTTCTTCTTCCACTCCTTGTGTCTCTTTCACCCCCTGATAACCCTACGTAAGGTTTTGCAGCTTGGTTCTGGCTATTCCGTATTAGTGAAGCACCTGACGCTGGGCGACTCTTTTCTTTGGGCGGGTTCCCATCAGACAGACGCAGTTTGCCTGATTTCCTCTCTTTGTTTATTTCTTCTTCGACTTCAACGACCAATTGAATCAAGCCTCACCGAATTGATTCGACTGGCGAGTAGTTTCCTGAACACTCGAACTTGGTGTTGTAGGACTCTCACTCCTTGTGGACGCTTTCTTGGCAAGCTCTCGCTGTTGGTGGCACCATCCCAGGCAGCACGGGCAAGACAAGACGGGATACGGGAAAGCACCAACCACCGGCACCAGCCGAAAACAGCACTTCACGACACTACCGACAACACTTTCTTTCCTTCTTTCCCACTATCTCTCTGCCGACGGCACCAGGCACCAATCCTTCTGTCCCCTTTACTTCATCGCTTCCATTCTCCAGCTTCTTATCCCTGACTTCATTTACCTTATTTCACCTTGCCTGCGCCTTCTCGTTTACGTGCGCGTCCTTTCCCCCCCCTTCTTCTAAGCCTCCGCAACCGCACCAGCGAGCCGACTCCGCCACAGCTTCTCATAGGAGGCGCAATCGACCCAACCAAGACACAGCTGACGACCTTCCCCGCCTACCTACCTGCCTTGGCTCGCCTCGACTGGGAGCCCCCCCGATACCCCAGCTAGACGTCCCTTGCAGCTGAGCAGCTCTCTCGGACCTGCTATCGACATACTTTCTCTCCTCGCCTTCATCGTCGAGCGTCGTACATCGAGATCATCGACTGATCAATCCGTTTGCCGGTCATCTTTCGGCATTTTTGTGCATCACTTTGCGGCAGCATCAACTCGGCATTATTGCTTATAAACCACATTTCTTTCGCTACAGACTGCGGCGATCAACAATGTTCGCCCAGCCATTTCACGATCCCGCTCGGAAGAGGCTCCGTGAGGAGGACCCCGACGCCGCTGTTGGATCTTGCGGCTTCAGTGAACACCGTAATGTATGTTCCCGTCGATGACGCCTCGCCTCCCTGCTGGCCTGCCACATCGCTGACTGCTTCGATAGAAACGGCTGCAATTGCCCGTCCGAACCTCGCCTGCATCTCAGAAGCGGAGCACGCCCATCTTCCCCCTCTCATCTACACCCCATTCCCAGATACATACCGAATGTGACTCGGAGGCGCCGGCCTCGCACTTTTCGCCCTGGTCGTCATCCCCAACCCTGGGCATGAACTCACCAGGCGTGGACCGCGAGATGGACATGGCCATGGACACAGCCATGTCGCCTCTGAACAATCTCCAGCATCTTACAGCCGAATCCTCTCCCAGACTGATGCCTCCCGGCCGCTTGCCAACACCCATGCAGTCGAGCTTGCCCCACAGCTGCGCGGCGCCACCGGATGGAGTGGACCGGGCCCTGTGATTATGCAACAGAACGGCCTATCCAACATGGGCCACGTTCACAGCACTGCTTTCCAGGACCGCACAGTGCCAAGGACCATGCAGACGGGTGATGGCTGGCACTCGGACGTCCAGCGCCGCATACCATCACCCATCTCGGAGGTTGACTCAAGCACTGCGAGCCCGGGTATGTGTCTCGAGAGTGGCGCCAGCAGTGGCTTCCCTTCGCAGTTGACGGCGAGGCTCGAGCAATCCACATTGTCTCCTCGAGGAGAGGACATGGGCATGATGGACGTCTCACCCTCTTTCTCCACACATGCGGAGGCGGCTGCCGAATATGAGCACATGCATGAGCATGAGCATGAGCATGAGCATGAGGAGGGCGAGGATGGCATGGCCCCCCTGACGGAGACGATCTCGGCCCCAGCCACGCCTTCGCCAGGACGCAGCCGGGGACACATGCGATCGCACCACACAATCAACACGTGGACGTGGCAACCGGGCATGAAGAAGAGCTTCAGCATCGGCTATCGAGCCGACTGCGAGAAGTGCCGCCTCAAGGTGCCTGGTCACTTCAACCACATAATCGTATCCTAGGAAGGTGGCCATGTTGTGGTTGACAGCAACGCGGATTCGCCGGCGTGAGAAGCGGTGGCGCCGTCCCAAGCAGCTCAACGCAAACGATCGAGATTTTCTTTTGTCAAACAGAAACAGGAAGAGCGGATACTGCGCATGGCAGTCCTGCTCGGGTGCCAGAACCTAAACCTGGATCCACCAGAACATGCTTCGTGGCTAGACTGGGTTGTTCGCGGCAGCTTCAGTCAGGGATTGAACTCGGAAGAAGACAGCGTCATGACGGACGTCTTGTCTGGACTGCCAGCGTGTTGATGGTACGATAGGGGAATTTGCATCTCTGGGCTGTTCATCTGGGGCCAACAGAAAACACGGCCAAGCTGATTTCGGGAGGGGGGACTCGGTTATATCCATTGCATTGGGAGCGTTTGGCGCAGCGTTTTGAACATATTCTCCCGCCCTCGTCCTGTTTATGGGGCGTGTAATATCACATTCTTTTGTTTGCTGCATTGGTCCTGGTTGCGCAGGTTGTTCAGTGAGCAAACGTTACATATTACAGAAATCACATCACAAGAAGGCCGCCAGCGTCGGTGAGAAATTTCGGTGAAAGACGGTCAGGGTCCGATTCGGAAGGCTCTGCTCGAGGCCAGCCCCGCCAATGACGTCGCAGCAGATGCCGTCCCAAGGCGACCCTGACCCTGTTAAGGGCCTGCTACTGTATGTTCCCACCAAAGTCGCGCGACGGGCCATCGTACGAGCTGACGGACGCCAATTGCAAAGCCGGAATGCGCCATTGGCCTTGGGTAGGGGCATTGGCTGGCTGCATAGGGCGTGGGTAAAGTTGCGGTCAGTGATGCTGGTGTTTGTCTGGGTAGAGGGGTACCTTCACGTCAAGTGAGTACGTGCAGGGGGACGTAGGTACCGCGGTACATAGGAATGAGGGGTGGTCAGATGCCCCGCGATCGCAGAGCAACAGAGGACATGGTTGAGGTGCAGGAGGAGCTTGGAGAGAGAGGGAGTGCGCCAACAGAGACATGGCATTGGAGAATCGCGGCTGATGGCTTTTCCCCCTTTGTCTCTGGCGATTTAGGGGGGCCTGGAGCGGGACGGGTGCCTCCGAAGGGCCTCCGGTGCCAGGCAGGCCACCTTTGGGGATTTTTTTTTTCTGGTGAGGGGCCCTTTTGGAGGGGAAAAGACATGTGGTGGTCATATGGTGGTCAAACGACCTTCTCCCCGCCACGCTTTCTCTTCTGAGTCATTGCAGCCAGAGGAAAGAAAGCTCTTCTTGCTGCGGTTACAATTGTGACCAAGTGAACTCCAACTTCTTTCTTGTATCGAGCCCACCTCTCTCGTTGGTGATTGCCAAATCAAACAATCCTTTGTCCCAAGGCTTGTGTGTTCCGGTACCTCCTTGATCGGCCCGTTTTCCAAGGTGCGTCCTTTGGGTTTGCCCCTCCCTCTTGCGCTGTTGCTGTGCTGGTTGGTACACTGTACCCAGTTGTTTGACGTGCGTTTGCGCGCTGCGCAGCATGGAGGGTTCCACTGTTCTGAGCGTTGCGTTTTGGGGCATTTTTTAGCATCATTGCTCAGTTTCTCGTTCGAGTCATCTCTCTCGTGTTCTACTCTCCAATTGTCTCTTCAACTTCGTTTGGGTACCTGCCTCTGAGAATTTTTGTTTCTTGACCAGTCTTGGAGCTTCACAAACTGATTGTCTGCCTCAGACCCTGACGACAACGACGACGACCTTGACTACGCCTTCCGAACCTTGTCCCTCGCGTACCACATACACCAGACGACACACAACCAGCAGCTCTTCAAGATGCCTGGTCTCGCCATGGAACCCGTCACAACCGACGATGTGCGAAGTAGGTCTCATCTGCGGGGACGGCCGTTGAATATTCCTTCCTCGTGATCTTCCTGGCATTTCAGTGGTGGAATTGGGATTGTTCAACATGGCTCGCAATGACGTCGCCCTGTTTTCTCTCTCTCTTTCTTTCCTCGATGAATGCCATTCACCGTTTGCTACACAGAGGCCAGGCTCGTTCCATTCACCAACCGACGGCGTCAGAGGGGGTGGGAGGAAGGTCAAGAAGCAGAGCTTGAGGCGTTGATACCGAGAGCATTAAACGATTCTTGCCTCTCCAAGGATCAGCTGCATGACTATGCCCTCTTGCTCCCTCTGACAGCCTTTGGCATATCCCATTACCCGTCTACCTCTATCTTTGACTATGCTTTTCCTCGTACCTAAGTACCGCTCCGAGAGCACCGCTGACGGCCTGGCAGTTCTCGGTCAGGACCCCCTCATCCCGCCGGCGCTCCTCATCTCGGAGCTGCCCATGACCGAGGCGGCCATGCAGACGGTCGTCAAGGGCCGCGACGAAGCCTCGAACATCGTCATGGGCCGCGACGACCGCCTCCTGGTCATCATCGGCCCCTGCTCGATCCACGACCCGGCCACGGCGCTCGAGTACTGCGACAGGCTGCGCGCCGTCGCCGACCGCCTCAACCAGGACCTCTGCATCGTCATGCGCGCCTACCTCGAGAAGCCCCGCACGACGGTGGGCTGGAAGGGCCTCATCAACGACCCCGACATCGACTCGACGTTCCAGATCAACAAGGGCCTGCGCGTGTCGCGCCAGCTCTTCCGCGACCTCACGGCCAAGGGCATGCCCATTGCGTCCGAGATGCTCGACACCATCTCGCCCCAGTTCCTCGCCGACTTCATCTCGGTCGGCGCCATCGGCGCGCGCACCACCGAGTCGCAGCTCCACCGCGAGGCTCCGCCTCGGGCCTCCTCGTTCCCCGTCGGGCTTCAGAACGGCACCGACGGCAAC